ACAGTGTTTACCTGAATGATATTGGAAGCAGGCACCTTTGGGAAATGATTTATACTGTACGTCCTTACTACCTTTACTTAGTTTTGTTGTCTGGCTTGTTGTCAGTCTGGCGTTGACATACAACTCCATGTGGACATCCCCCCCCAGGCAACTTGTCCCTGGGCGACTAGTGTTCAAAAGTCCCTATCATAATCTTTCCAATTACCCTTGCATCTGCTATTTCCCTGACAGCTTCTAAATGCTTTGCCAATTTGGCTTGTTGATCTTGATATTTCATGCAATAAATTGTTGAAAATCTGTTCCATGCTTCATCGAAGAGAAGTTTGTATTGCTTGAGTTTTGTTGAGAAAAAAAAATGCATAATATTTTGTGTCAAGAACAATCAATATTTTCATATGATTGTGGCCATTTTGTTATTTATTTTCAAAATGTTTTCACATTAAAAAATTTTTTTATTACTTTATTAAGTTTTTATATTTGTTATGGAAATTCTCTTGATGATGACTAGGATATTGTTTAAAGGTCATTGAAATATGTGTAACTACTAACTAAAATGTGGCTAGAAGGTCACTGAAATAAAGCTGAATGGTAACTGAAATATGGTTGAATGGTCACTGAAATATAGATGAAAGGTCACTGAAATATGTCTGAAAGGTCACTGACATAAAGCTGAATGGTAACTGAAATATGGCTAAAAGGACACTGAAATAAAGCTGAATGGTAACTGAAATATGGCTGAAAGGTCACTGAAACTTGGCTGAAAAGTGCAATGAAATATAGCTGAATGCTAACTGAGATATGGCTGAAGGGTAACTGAAATATAGCTGAAAGGTCACTGAAATATGGCTGAATGCTAACTGAAACATGGCTGAAAGGTCACTGAAATATGGCTGAAGGGTCACTGAAATATGGCTGAATGCTAACTGAAACATGGCTGAAAGGTCACTGAAATATGGCTGAATGCTAACTGAAATATGGCCGAAGGGTCACTGAAATATAGCTGAAAGGTCAGTGAAATAAGGCTGAAAGGTCACTGAAATATGACTGAATGCTAACTGAAATACGGCTGAAAGGTCACTGAAATATGGCTGAATGGTTACTGAAGTATGGCTGAAAGGTCACTTAAATGCGGCTGAAAGGTCACTGAAATATGGCTGAAGGGTCACTGAAATATGGCTAAATGGTAACTGAACTATGGCTGAATGGTAACTGAAGTATGACTGAAGGGTCACTGAAATGTGGCTGAAGGGTCACTGAAATGCACGTGCCATTCAGTTGAATAAATGGTCACTGAATTGTAACGGAATTGTTATGGAAAAGATCTTTATCAGTGATCATTCCATCACCATTCCGTTCCCATTCAGTAACCTTTAAGTCGACTGAATGATTAGATTTCATCCTGTGAGTCATGCATGGAAGAGACAGATGTATCATTTAATGAATCGTTGTCCACCTGGTGGATTGTCAACTTACCGGGACTGTCACCATCTTCCACTTGTAGAGAAAACTTACCTTTCTTTTGTTTGTCCTTAGACAGCAGTTTTAAGAAGTCAACATACTGGTTTGACCAAGTTTTGGACTTTAGTTGATCAGACACCCTTGCATCTATTGGAACTGCCGTACTGATAAAATCACTGGGACTCTTACCTGCCATTTTTTTTCAGTATGGTTAATGACCAAGGCTTCAATCGACTGTTGAACTTGGTCATTGGGTGCACATGCAGCAGTCGAATCTTGCCCACAATTAACAGAATTAGTTAGGTTTGGATTATTATTGACGGGAGCCCCCACAGTATTATCACTAATACTCCCCTGACTATTGGCTGTTGTGCTGCTGGTCACGTTGCTAATGAGTGTTGTCAACTCCTCTCTTATTGTCGCACTGACCCGCTGCGTAACTTGTCTTGTGATCGTTTCCAGGTCGTCAGGGGATAGAGGTGTTACAGTAGCTGTCGCCGTATTTGATCCATGTACCCGTCGTCTTTTGCTGTGTTGGGAGACAGGGATTGGTACTGCTCTAGCTTTGGCTGATTTTCTCTTAGGTGGCATGATTATAATTGGTGGATAGCTTACTGAAACACAAATAAAATGCCATTAGTTAGTGTATATAGTTCCTTTCTCTTGACCACTATAAATAGAAGGGTAAATATGTAAACATCCGGTGACCATAAACCGGCAAATGAAATGAGCAAGCCTTAAAATTCCGGAATGTTGATCTGTAACTAATATATTATCCTAAACCACAATGAACTGATTACTCTGAAGGCATAACAGATCAATTCACAGGAACAAGCAAGTAATTCATATTATTATGATATAGTCAAATGATCCTGCAAGAACAGTATACAAGGGTTTTTAATTGCAATGAAATATGCCTCGGGGGAGGCGTAAATTAATGTATCCCAATAATAAAACAAGTGAATAGTGCTACAGTGTAATTAATTCCGTGCAATGAGATGAGCCTCGGGGAGGCGTAAAATAAAAATACATCTCAGGAAAACACAAGTAAATTGTGTTAATTCCCGTGCAATGAGATGAGCCTCGGGGAGGCGTTAAATAAAAATACATCTCAGAAAAACACAAGTAAATTGTGTTATTTCTCGTGCAATGAGATGAGACTCAGAGAGGCGTAAAATAAAAATTTATCCCGGAAAAAAAATTGCCACATGATTTTAGTAAATAAAGAGCAATAAAATGAGCCTCGAAAAGGGCGTCAAGAATAATCCACAATTCAATTTGATTCTAGTGCAGTGAGATGTGCCTCCAAGAGGCATATGTTAATTATGATATGTTTATTTATATATAATTTTTAAGTCTTCTCAGAGAAATAAAAGTAAATCTTTGTGATTTTAGTCACAATATACAAAATGAACTTGAACATCTCAGGGGCTTTAATTTTTTTTTTTCTTGAAAACATTTATTTGAAGGAAAACCTCGAGAATCCTAACATCATTATAATTTTCTTTTTTTTAAAAGTTATTTATTTATTTCTTATTTTATATATATTTTGTAACTTTTGAACAAACTGTTTATGAAACGAATGGAATTTTCACTATCAACACATTCATCGCATTCTTGATAAAATAAGACCACGCAAGCTCCGATATAGATGTACATTACCCTGCTTATTCAGGTGGACGCCGTCTTGAAGAAATTTATGGCTGCATGCCTTGAGATTTGGCGATGGGAAAAGGTCATTGTGATCCAAGAAAGAAGCGAATTTGAACTCTTGAAGAGAGGACTTCAGCAGAGCATCCACTTCGTCTACGATACCGTTGTAATTCAATGCTTGATTAAAACGTGGCAATAATTTGCACACGTGAATTTGGGAAACTCCAAATCTACCATGGAGTACCGAGACAGTGGATTCTAAATTCCCCGCGATTTCTTCGGGGGAACTGACACCTCGGACATCATTACCTCCAATCAGAAAGATTATTTTATACGGTTTCACCCGTTCAATGAAAGTCGCATCCTCGCGGAGAATGCCTGATATTGTGCGGCCTCCAACACCTCTAAAAATATTTTGTGTGTCTCTTGGAGGCCGGAATCGTCATTATATCTATCGTTAGCTTCACTTCTAAGTAATTGATGGAAGCGACGAACGATAGAGTGACCCAAAATAAGTATTTTGTAAGAATCCATGAATAAATACAAAGTAAAATTGATCTTACCGCTTAAAATCGAATAAAATTCTTAGAAAATTTTCCAGTGAGTTAATTGTCCGGCGTCCTGAAAGAAAGTGACGAGCCACGCTATCTCGAAAGGAACGCACCTTCAGTTTCCCGCGAAACGATTCTATTGGTTCTATCTATCAGCACTCACATAGCTTACCATAAAAGGAGATGCTATTAAGCTGAAGTGTATCGCAAGAGCGATAACTCCAGCATTTGAGAAAGAAATACATTATCAATATACATACAGTATTTTAAGGAACCTTAAAATTCTTTTTATAAATTAATCATGTAACAAAACCATGTTACAAAAGGTCCGAATTATCTATCAGCGAAAAATAGGATTGGACCGCTCAGCGAAGATCCGACGTGGAATCCATGTTGGCAATTCAACTCAATTTGAATTCAATGTTGAATCAACGTTATATTTTCAACGTGGAAAAGTCAACGTTGAATCAATATTGTATCTACATTTATCAACGTCGAAACCCAACTTCAACAAATATTCAACGTTTAAAAACGTTGTGTGCCTGCTGGGATGAAACTGTCGGTCAATCAATTGATTGTGACTTGTGAATAATAAAAATACAAATTTTTGTATGAAGAAAAAATCTTGCTTAAAGAAAAAATATAGATTTTAAACGTGGGTGCTTTAGTAAATACATATTAATTGTAGTCTTTTGTATTAAAGACCTATATACCCTTTAAGCCTGTAGCTATATGGACTGAAAAGCTTAATTGTTCTTAAAAAATGTCATAGTATAATAAATCTGCAATTGTGACAGTACACCAGTTATCAAAATTAAGTTGTTTTTTATGAAGTAAGAAGAAAACGATTATCAAATTGACACTTTAAAAAGTAAAAAAATATGAATGCGTATATCAACTTCTGTTCCTACTTTCGTTTCCTAAACTTATGCTGACATTTTAAGTATTTCTTCATGTCACAAGCCAAAATTATCTTCATACCATAAGCCAACTCTTTGCTTTAATTATCAGATTTTTTTTTGAAATAAATATTTAGTCAGTGAAAAAAAATTCCCCTGCACTATGTGGGATTTTAATTAGTACTTTATAAATAACATTCATTTGTTATATTCACAAATCTGTTTGTATCTCATGAATGAATAAGACCTTAGTCACTGATATATCTTGTTATATTTTCTTTCATTCTTGAACATATTCACATTAGAACTATTAGCACAATTGAAAATATTTAATAAATGCTTGCCTCGTGCATACATTTTTATCTTATCGTTCTTAAGAGAGAAAAAAATGACAGGTACCTGAAAAGAAATATACTCCTACTCCTCCTCCTGAACCAACTCATACTCCTCCTTGTATTTTTCCTCCTCTTACTCCTCCTTGTACTTGTCCCCCTATTACTCTTCCTCCTAGTACTTGTCCTTCACTTACTCCTCCTCCTAGTACTTGTCCTCCTCTTACTCCTCCTCCTAGTACTTGTCCTCCTCTTACTCCTCCTCCTTGTACTTGTCTTCCTCTTACTCCTCCTCCTTGTGCTTGTCCTCCTCTTACTCCTCCTCCTAGTACTTGTTCTCCTCTTACTCCTCCTCCTAGTACTTGTCTTCCTACTCCTCTTCCAAGTACTTGTCCTCCTATTCCTGCTCTTACTCCTAAACCTACTCCATATACTCCGCCATCTCCCTCATCATCGTAATTGCTTGTTCTTATTGAAAAGAAACCCGCATTACAGGAAACCAGAACAGAGGCTAACACAGGAGTTTTTTTTAAAGAGACTTACATTTACATTTCAAAGCTGACTTTTACATTTTAGTGATTGGAGTTTGTCTATGTTAAAATTGTAAAAGTCAGTCGTCAATTTTAAACGTAAGTCTCTTCATAAAACTCCAATATCAAGGCGTTCATTTTGACTGTAAATACATTATCCTGATTTTGAAAATCTTGGTACCTTTTAAATAGGTTCGCAACAAATTTTAAAAAGAAAAATGTTGAAATCCTTTCTCAGAAGTCGACCGTATTTAAAGACGTTAAAAAGTGAATTTAAACGAAAAGAAAAAACGTGAATGACGCGATTCCTATGTAATTTTTGCACAATGCTTGAACGTGGTTATCTTTTAAGTAACGTCAAGCAATATACCGTTTTTGTTAATCAAAATGTCAATACTTTTGTCTTAAATCTCTCGGTGAATTTATGAATTTCTTAAATTAAGATTCAGGGATAATTCTATAAAGATCCTTAAGCCCTTTTCAATTTGCATAAACAAATCTTTCAACATTTACTACCTACTCATTCGGAAAGGTAAAGGAATAAACTCTATTGATTCTTTTAAATATTTTTCCCCATTTTGAAATTTCAAACTGCACTTACCTGCTATCCGATTCTGTGAAGAGCCAATCATCCTTCCAACCAAGATTTTATGTCTTATATAGTTCTAAGAAAGCAAAAGGTCACAAAGTCTCACCGCAACATTGGTTGGAATGTGTTTGTATTGGTCCACCGTATTTTATTCCTAATATTTTTGTCCAATATTATAAGGCATTGAATTGGAAGTTTTTATCCACTAATTATTCAATTTATAACTTGCATGGGAATCTTTTTAAACAATTAAGATTTTAAAAAATGTTGAATCTGATAAAAGGTAGTGATCTGAAATACTAAATCATATTGACAGAGGTTGAAAGAACATTAAAACAAATACATTTTATAGTTCATTTTCATGACTAAGATTAAATTCAAATTCTAAGAAGCTGCATTCCAAGAAAAAAAACCTAGAAGATCTGAAGATAATTTCTTCAATCAGAATTCTTTCCACGAGTTAATAAATTGTGGTGGAATGTAATTTTGATTTCAAGATGATGCACCGAACAGATTTTGTTTTGTTATCAACAAAAAAAAAAATGAAAATAAATTATATATTTTTAATTGTGAAAAAATAATTTAATAGCCTTTCTCACTTACCATGTAGTTAAAGATACGTGGAAAATGTTTTTGTCCTAAAATTGTTTATTGAAAAGATTTGCACAAAATATGAACTATTACTGGATTTATGAAAGAAAGTATGATTGTGTAAAGTATCCCACTTGCCAACACAAAAAATAAATTCTGTGGTCGGTCAAATTTTTGTTGATATGATTGAAATAACGTGAGAGACAAGACAACTATTTTACTATGTTTTTTTTCTGTTATTAAAAGCATCACATACCTTTCAAAGTCTCAATTTAATCTATATTATCTATACAAATGTAAATGGTTCATAATATGTAACACTTCGTATTCACCGGAATTGAGATCATATTCTCCAGAGGGTCAGCTCCCGTGCAGCGTCGAATGATATCTCCAAGTTGTTACCGAAATCTAAAAGTAAATTACTAATATAAACTTTTTTCTTTCTTTTTCTTCCTTTATGCAATACATTAAGCTTATAAGATATTATTTCTATAATTGATAAGTCACATTGTTTTTTGTTATTAAAGGAAATTTGAACTGGTCAAATATTCTCATATGAAGCAGAATATGTCCAAAATCTTATTCGTGAAAACCACGAAACACTTGCTTTGACCATCAACTTGACATTTTATGTTTCTGTACCAGATGTTTGTTACTGAAAATATTATTCATATTATTTTCTTCTTTCAAGTGATATCGAAAAATTTAACCAAATGATGTGCATTTATTCTAGAAAGAATCTTCAAATCGTACAGAACAGTATGCACATATTCAAGCAATAGCGAAAGATTATATGTGAAACGCCCCCCTTTCACGTCCATAGACAGACTCACAGACTAAGAATTTGTCAATCGTGTTTATATTTGACTGGCACAAGTGAAAGACAAGGATAAATTGAAGATATTCTGCGTGAATCTAAAAGTGAAGTATGCCTTCTAACTGAATTTTTTGATTAACACATTCTCGCACTTTCAAAAATTGAAATTTCATCCATTATATTTAAGAAAATTCTGTTGTGTATTAATGAATAATATGGTATGAATGAATGATATTACATCTATAATCTAGAAAATTTCAGAGTAAAATTGTGCGAAAGAAAAACCCACTCACTTAGATTATGTTAGCCCTTGCTTGGTGTTGTGTACTTGTTTACAGAGTTTAACAAATTGAATGCACCCGTGAACCGTAAACTGCGTTTGTGTACAGGGCACGAGCTCTGCTGTTGTTAATGTTTACGTTTCAACAGATGTGTTCAATTGATTGTTCAAGTCTGAACTCACCATTGAGCACGGACTGACAATACTGGTGAGAGGATATTAATTTCTACATTTCTACTCTGACATTTCAGGATTTTTGTTTTAATACCGTATAAGCAGAATCTTAAGCGAGGATTTAATTTTGCATTATTAGCGAGAGTGCCAATATCGCTAAAATTGAATATTACTAAAATTAATTGCGCTTTATTTGTAACAGCGTCTTTTAAAATCGCTAAAATAACATCTCACTAAAAATTAAATACCGGTTTTTGTGGACAAGTCGCTAAATTTGCGTCTCGCTAAAATTTCTACTTATACGGTATTTTTTTTTATTAGTACACAACAAAATTGCTACTTTTCTTAAGTAGGAAGGATGAAGTTGAAATTTGTGAAAGAGCAAGGGCGTGTCTATCAACTGCACCAAGTAATTCGAATTTTAAAACCTTTCAAAAAAAAAAAGATTTTGATTATATTTTCGCATAAAAAAATATAGCAACATATATGTCATGAAATTATACAGAAAATATGAAAAATATGAAATCAAAATCTGTGTCTTAGCACCTTTTAAGCAATAAAAGCTACACCTTCTATGTCGGAATTTCTTCTATGTCGGAATTTGGAAAATTGAAATAAAGTATTTCAATTAAAGGAAAAGAGAATGTTCGTAAGCATTTGTTGTTCATATTTTCAATGGAAGAGCTCTTTTTAAGTTTTGATTGAAGCAGAATTTGATTATTTTCGTCCTGTGTAATTATGATTTCCTACATGATACTATACATTTTATTGTAAAGAAATCTTTTTTTCTAAAACAATTTATAATACTTTTTTGAGTCAAAATGATCATCAAGGTTTTTAACTATACACAAAGTTATCATATTAGCATGTTTTGACAGGAAAATAAAAATCTCTTAAATGCAGCTTAAATTGCTTTAAATCATATAAAGAAAATAGCATAAAATAAAACAGAGAATAATCTATTTGCAACAGATATTTTTTAATTTGTCAAAGATGAGAAATGAGGAGCACATATTCAATATCTTTTCCTGGAGGTGCCTCGAGGATATTCTGGAAGCTGAGGACTTGCTGCACCTGAACCGCCTCCAGGACCAAATGAACCTCCTACAGGACCAAATGAACCGCGTAGAGGGCCAAATGAACCACCTACAGGACTAAATGAACCGCCTACAGGACCATACGAATCATCTACAGGAAAAGAAATCATAACTGAGCCTTTTTTTTATTAATGATTTTAAAAAGTGCTAAATTTATCACAATATTTGCACCGAAAAAATGCCCGAATAATTATTCATTATTTTTTATCTGAGTTTCAAGTTAGGTTGTTTACATGCATGAAGTTCTGATTACTGATTTAAAAAATGAGCAAAACCTTCCCGTTCATATCCGATCTCACTCTTGATTGAAGGTTCTAGAAAGTCAGATGGCATAGAACCCGGTCAAAAAAACAAGAGAAGTCAGGATCATGAAACTAGTGATCAATCAATTGATAACGGTATGACTTATGAATAATAAAAATGTACATATTTACAACTGAAATCCTTATGGCAACGAACTGGAAGTTAATTTTTGTATGAAGTAAAAAATTTGCTTAAAGAAAATATAGATTTTAAACGTGTGTGCTATAGTAAATACATTTTAATTGTAGTCTTTTGTATGAATGACCTATATACCGTTTAGGCCTGTAGATATATGGACTGAAAATCTAAATTGTTCTCAAAAATGCCAAAAGTACAATAAATCTGCAATTGTGCATCTTTTTACCAAAATACAATTAAAACAGAATACACGTAGTATAAAAAGTTAAAGTAAAGTACAGGAGACATGAAAAAAAAAATATTTACAAGTGAAGATAAAATGTTTTTAAATGTGTACCCACAGTACACTATGTATGACATAGTACACCAGATATTAAAATTAAGTTGCTTTTTGTGACGTAAATAGAAAACGCTAATCAAAGTGATACTTTAAAAAGTAAAAAAAAATATGAATGCTAATATCAACTTCTGTCGTTTCCTAAACTTATGTTGACATTTTAAGTATTTCTTCATGTCATAAGCCAAAATTACTAGTATCTTCATGCCAGAAGCCAACTGTCAGCTTTATCTATAAGACATTTTTTTGAATAAATTTTGCATCAGTGAAAAAAATTCCCCTGCGCTTGAGTGGGATTTTAATTAGTACTTTATAAATAACATTAAATATGCTACCTATAAATTTGATATATTTTCAAATCTGTTTATATCTCAAGAAAACATGAGATCCTAATCACTGATATATCTTGTAATATTTTCTTTCATTCTGGAACATATTCAAATTTGAACTATGAGCACAACTGGAAAATTTTAATAAATGCTTGTTCCGTACATACATTTTTCACTTATAGTTCTTAAGAGAGAAAAAATTACAGGTACCTGGAAAGAAATATTCTCCTACTCCTCCTCCTGAACCAACTCCTACTCTTCCTCCTCCTTGTACTTGTCCTCCTCTTACTCCTCCTCCTTGTACTTGTCCTCCTCTTACTCCTGCTCCTAGTACTTGTCCTCCTCTTACTCCTGCTCCTAGTACTTGTCCTCCCAATCTTCCTCCTAGTGCTTGTCCTCTTACTGCTCCTCCTAGTACTTGTCCTCCTACTCCTCCTCTTACTCCTAAAGCTACTCCATATACTCCACCATCTCCCCCATCGTCGTATTTGCGTGTTCTTATTGAATCGTAACCCGCATTACAGGAAACCAAAACAAAGGCTAACACAATCAAGACGTTCATTTTGACTGTAAAAACATTATCATGATTTTGAAAAAAATCTTGGTACCATTTATAAATAGGTTCGCAACAAATTTAAAAAAGAAAAATGTTGAAAGTCTTTCTCAGAAGTCGACTGTATATAAAGACGATAAGTAACATCCCGTTTTGGTTAATCATAATTCCAATACTTTTGTCTTAAATCTCTTGGTGAATTTTTGCATTCCTAAAATTAAGATTCAAGGATTATTCTGTAAAGATCTTCAAGCCTTTTCAATTTGCATAAACTAATCTTTCAACATTTGTTACCTACTCATTTGGTAAGGTAAAGGAATAAACTCTATTGATAAACTTTTAAATGTCTTTCCCCATCTTGAAATTTCAAATTGCACTAACCTGCTATCCGACTCTGTGAAGAGGCAATCATGTTTCCAACCAAGATTTTGTGTCTTATATAGTTCTAGGAAAGCAAAAGGTCATAAAACGTCTCACCACAACATTGGTTGGAATGTGTTTGTATTGGTCTACCGTCTTTAATTCCTAATATTTTTGCACAATATTATTAGGAGTTAGGTGGGAAGTTTTCATCCACCAATTATTCAATTTATAACTTGCATGGGAAGCTTTTTAAACAATTAAGTTTTAAAAAATGTTGAATCTGATAAATGGCAGTTATCTGAAATACTTAATCATATTGACAGAGGTCGAACGAACATTAAAACAAACATATTTTAGTTCATTTTATGACAAAGATTAAATTAAAATTCTAAGAAGCTGCTTTCCAAGAAAAAAAACCCAGAAGATCTGCAGATAGTTTCTTTGAATTTGAATTCTTTCCACGAGTTAATAAATTGTGGTGAAATATTCAATTGTGAAAAAATAGTTTAATAGCCTTTCGCACTTACCATGTAGTTAAAAATATGTGGAAAATGTTTTCGTCCTAAAACTATTTATTGAAAAGATTTCCACAAAATATGAAGTATTACTGGATTTATGAAAGAAGTATGATTCTGAAATGTATCCCACTCGCCAACACAAAAAATGAATTCTGTACTCGGTCGACAAGAGTGTCGGGACATCAAATTTTTGGTGATATGATTGAAACAACGTGAGAGAAAGATTACTTTTTTATCATTTTTTGTTGTTATTATAAACATTATTATATACCTTTCAAAAGTATCAATATAATCTATATTATCTTTACAAATGTGAATGGTTCATAATATGTAACACATCATATTCACCGGAATTGACACCATATTCCCCAGAGGGTCAACGCCCGTGCTTCGTCGTATGCTATCTCCCAGTTGTAACTTAAATTTACTTATATAAACATTTTTACGATGCATTAAGCTCATAGATATTATTTCTGTAATTGGTAAATGGATAGTGTCACATTGTTTTTTATTTAAGGAAATTTGAACTGGTCAAATATTGTCACATTTCTAAATTTTAACAGTTAAAATATAAAATAGCTACGTTTAAAATGTGTTATATAAAATTCTATGGTAATATTATATAAAAATGTTTTTATCGAACTCGTTGTTTGGTCTTCCAACAATCTATTGGAATTCCATTGGGTACTAATTGTACCCTGTTATTAGCAAACCCATTTGTATTTTTGTTTTAATATGAGGCAGAATTTGTCTAACATCTTATAAGAAAACGACGAAACACTTGCTGTGACCATCTACTTGAAATTTTAGAATATCGAACAAGTATTATCAATGAACAATGGTTATTATACCCGCACTTTCTAAAGGGTATATTGTTGTTACTCATGTCCGTCCGTCCGTCCGTCTGTCACACTTTTCTTCCCTGAACTCCTCCTACATTTTTCACAGTAGCTCAATCATCTTTTGGGAGATGGTTGGGGGTGTCATGTAGATGTGCAGTAAGGTTTCAGAATTTTGATTTTGCCCCGGGGGGTCAAATGGGGGTCGAAATATAACGTTTTTTATGCTCAAAGCCCCGTCTTCCCTGAACTCCTTCTACATTTTACTCAGCAGCCTAATCTTCTTTTAGGAGATGGTTGGTGGTGCCATGTAAATGTGCAGTAAGGTTTCCGAATTTTGATTTTGCCCCAGGGGATCAAATGGGGGTCGAAAAATGACGTTTTTTATGCAAAAAGCCCCGTCTTCCCCAAACTCCTCTTACATTTTATTCAGCAGCCTAATCATCTTTTGAGAGATGGTTGGTGGTGTCATGGAGATGTGCAGTAAGGTTTCGGAATTTTGATTTTGCCCCGGGGGGTCAAATGGGGGTCGAAATATAACGTTTTTTATGCAAAAAGCCCCGTCTTCCCTGAACTCCTCTTACATTTTATTCAGCAGCCTAATCATCTTTTGGGAGATGGTTGGTGATGTCATGTAGATGTGCAGTTAGGTTTTGGAATTTTGATTTTGTCGTGGGGGGTCAAATGGGTGTTGAAAAATGACGTTTTTTATGCTAAAAGCTCCTTCTTCCCCAAACTCCTCTTACATTCAACTCAGCAGCCTAATCATCTTTTGGGAGATGGTTGGTTGGGTCATGTAGATGTGCAGTAAGGGTTCAAAATTTTGATTTTGCCCCGGGGGGTCAAATGGGGGTCGGAAAATGAGTTTTTTTATGCTAAAAGCCCCGTCTTCCCTGAACTCCTTCTACATTTTACGCAGCAGCCTAATCATCTTTTGGGAGATGGTTGGTGGTGTCAAGCAGATGTGCAGCAAGGTTTCAGAATTTAGATTTTGCCCCGGGGGGTCAAAGAGGGGTCGAAAAATGACGTTTTTTATGCTACAAGCCCCGTCTTCCCGGAACTCCTTCTACATTTTACTCAGCAGCCTAATCATCTTTTGGGAGATGGTTGGTGGTGTCAAGAAGATGTGCAGTAAGGTTTCAGAATTTAGATTTTGCCCCGGGGGGTCAAATGGGGGTCGAAAAATGACGTTTTTTATGCAAAAAGCCCCGTCTTCCCTGAACTCCTCTTACATTTTATTAAGCAGCCTAATCATTTTTGGGAGATGGTTGGTGGGGTCATGTAGATGTGTAGTAAGGTTTCGGGATTTAAATTTTGCCTCGGGGGGTCAAATGGGGGTCGAAAAATGATGTTTTTTATGCAAAGAGCCCTTTCTTCCCTGAACTCCTCTTACATTTTATTCAGCAGCCTAACCTTTTTTTTTGGAGATGGTTGGTTGGGTCATGTAGACGTGTCGTAAGGTTTTGGAATTTTGATTTTGCCCCGGGGTGTCAAATAGGGGTGGAAAAATGATGTTTTTTATGCAAAAAGCCCGTCTTCCCTAAACTCCTATTTCATTTTACACAGTGGCCTAATCCTCTTTTGGGAGAGTTCACTCTTTTGAAATTTTGGTAAAACATCAAGGTCAAGCCGTAAAAATCATAGCATATTTGGAAACATCTTGTTATGGGTAATGTACACTTGAAATGTGAAAGTCGTATCTCTTCTCAATCAAAAAGAAATACAACATTATTGAAAAGTAAGTTGAACTTCAAGGTCAAGGTCACAGAGTCAAAAAGTCATGATACATTTGGAAAGGTCTTATCACAGGTAATATGAATTCTCTTTCATTTATCTTTCAAAATGATCAATTTAAAACAATGAATTTGTTCATGACAGTAGGTCAAACTTCAAGGTCATGGGTAATAAAAATCATAGTATATTTAGAATGGTATTGTCCCATTAAATACTAATACACATGTTTAATATAAAAGTCCTGTCTCTTCTCATTTAAAATATATGACCATGATGACCAAGGTTAAATTTATTGTGACAGATGGATAGACTGATAAACAAATAAGATTTAATGTGTCCTACCTTTAGCGAAAATGGGGGACAATAAATGTCCTTGCTGTTCTTGAGAAGAAGATTTATGTTGGAAAAAGTCCCCTGCATATTTACATGTAAATTGGTTGAAATTGGCTCAGTGGTTCTTAATTCAGAAGTTAAGAATGTGAAAAGTTTGCAGAAAAACAGATGGACGACAGAAAACAGTACATTTCAGAAAACAGTATGCTTGTAAATAGTTAATCAAGGTGCTTTGGGTAGCAAAATAAAGCTAAACTGGTATATCTAATTCATCCGCAGAGCTTAGTATATTTTAAGATGCACAACCTTTTCAACTCTTACAATAATTATTTTCAAAATATTTATATCACCATGTCTGATTCAAGGGAGAACTTGAGATATGACCAGAAGTATATCTGTTGAATATAAGATATGTACATGTATACTGTGTTTTTTTTTTTTTTAGTAATTTGTTTGTTTGTTGTGACAGCAACTGTTATGGCAGCTTTTGGCAAAGCTTGAAGTTTCTCAAATGTAAGTCAAACTCCAAGGTCAAGGTCAAAGGGTTAAAATTGTTGGTATCAAAGGGAAAGTCTTGTCACAAGGAATACACATGTAAAATAAGAGAGAAATTCCTAGTACTTCCTCACCTGTTCAAAAGTCATTGCCAAGGTTAAATTGGATTCAACTCTAGGGTCAAGGTCAAAAATATTTATACCTGTTGAAAGTTCACAATGATTACACATGTTAAGCATGAAAGTCCTGGCACCAACTGTTCAAAACTTAAATTAGGCCAAGTTTAAGGTATTTTTGTGTAAAAGTGGGTCAAACTCCAAGGTCAAGAGATCAAGAGGTCAAAATTGGTGGTACCCATTAAAAGGTTTTGCCAAAAGAAATTTACCTATGAAATGTGGAAGCCATGTGTATAGCCCAATCCACTTAAAACTAAAATATGGGCAAGGTTAAAGTTTCTGTGAACAGACAAACAGACATACATGTGTAAACACAGGAAACAAAATATGTATGTATAGTAAAATGGAAAAATTTTCTACTTTTATGGAGTCATAAGATCATTTGTCATTTCAGGTTACAGGGAGTCAGTGGCTAGGGAGATCAGACCCCCCACCCCCACCCCCCCACCCCTTGAATTTGCAGTTATTTAGATAAGACTACAGTTATTTAGGGTATTCCGAATCACCCCGCATTCCGCGACGCTCGGTAATTTACCTTATCGCTGTATCTT